TCTGGGTTCAATTCCTCAGCACCATATAAGCAAAATGAAAAAAGCCGGAAGTGGCGCTGTGGCTCAAGTGGTAGAGCGCTAGTCTTGAGCTGAAGAGCTGAGGGACAGCACCCAGGCCCAGAGTTCAGGCCCCACAACCGGACCCAAAAAAAAAAAAAATCAGAACAGATATTTCACTACGGATACCCAAATAGCCAATGAATAAGTGACAAACAACTACACATCATCAGTCATCATGGAAATGACTGAAGCCAACAAGAGGCACAAACCACTAGAATGGCTGAACACAAAGACAAACGACCCAAGTTCTGGTGATGACATAGAGAACTAGAACCTTCAAGCATTTCTGCTGGGAATGTGCACTGTACAGTCACTTCTGAAAATAGCAGGTAGTTTCTAAAAGTTAAACATAAATTATGTATATAAATTATGTGCATAACTTCTAACTGAATTGTTTACTTCAAGCCAGGTATAAGTCTAGGCTATGTGAACCAGTGCTGATTAAAGCAACAAGATCCCTAGTATTTTCACAAGCACAGTGAAACAAAGAGACATGCTAGACAGGGTACTGACGAGTGAGTCGCGGAGGTCCAGGAAGACCTCTGAGAAGAGGTGGATCATATAAGCCTAGGTGAGAATGCAAGTGGCAGTCATGTGAAAAAAGAGCATTCCAGGTGACAGAAGAAAGAAAAAAAAAAAGGGATCAGAATGGCGAAGCACAGTAATTAATAGAACACGTGATATGAGGTACAGTGCTACCAAGAATAAATATTTGGGTTTCATTCTAAGCTATCACTGTACTCTACAAGACAACTTAAACTTTTATGAAATGTATATACCATCTCACCTATAAAAATGTACTAATCATAAAATATAAAGAAAGGGCTGGGATGTAGATCAGTGGCAAAAGCACTTGCCTGGCAAGTACAATGTCTTGGGCTAAAGCCCCATTACAAAAAGAAAAGAAAGGAAAAAAAACATTTAATAATAAACACAAACAAAAAAGTACAAATAAATAATAAAAAATGTACTAGATATTGCATACTTCTTTTACTAAGTGGATCAATAAAATCTATAACTGATTCTCTGTTCTCAAATATTTGTATTAGTATTTTAACACGAGTCCAACTTTATACCTTGTTGACATCCTTTTCAATACATTGATTACCTAATACACCAATGAAGAGGCCTCCTGTTTCCTACCTAACAGCTATTTCCCAAATGCTTTAACTCAAACTTTCAGTACTTTGTTTTCCTCCTTAACTGGCTAATATGTGTGCCCTCTGCACCTACAGAAGTTCTTACTAAAGTTTCTGCCTCCATTTAATGCTTTGCTTTCCCAAACTATGCCATCTGTTTTCCCTATGGTCTACTAAAAATGTTAAAAAGCACTGGTGTTTCAGACAAATTTAGCATCTTTTGAAATACACAGGAAGGAGCTTACTTCTCCGGCATAATAAAGTGCAGCAAGGACCAGAGCTCCTTGAGGGAATTCTGAAGAGGGGTGCCCGTAATCAGGAGCCTATGGTTGGACTTGAAATCAATCAGAGTTTTATATAATAAAGAGTCATCATTCTTCAACCGATGGGCTTCATCCACTCCCAGAAAGGCCCAGTTAATACTGCCCAGCACAGTCTGAAGTGAAAACAAAACAGAACGAGCCACCAGGTCAGAAAGAAACCCAATAGTGCTTTCAAGCATTTATTAGCTCTGTACAAATACCATCACAAAGGTACACAAAGACCCATTTACTCTTCACTGACTTATATATTAGGACTCTTCTGTTTACTGTCAGATTGGTGCCTAAAGAGCACCTCATCATCTAAAAGGTATAGGCAGTCTCTTAAACCAGGAATTACTGTAGGTCCCAAGCAAGAACAAAGAAACTGGTATGCTGAGCAAAAACAAGAACAAAAACTATAAAATACCCACATGATTTCTGCATTCTAAGATTCTTTTCTTGTCTATTTCCCATCTTAACTCTGAAGTACAGAAATACTCGAGTTACCAAGATGAACTTGATTTACTCTAATTATTACCACATGTATTACTTCGTAACTGTTTAAAAGGAGACCATTCATATCAACTCGTCCGGAGAAATACCTCAACAATGATGGTGCGGGAGATGCCCAAGATGGCATTCAAGCCCAGTTTCCCTGACTACAATCATTTTCAGCTAGTTTACTGGTCAAAATACAGTCTTCCAGTATAATTCAAGTGGACTCGGCAACATGAGTTCCTCTTCAATACTTAAGGTCCTGATTTCTATTTGTAATCTTATTGCTTTGAGGAACTTGTTTGCTCATTTGCTTGCTTTTAACAAGTAAGAAAAATGGTAAGTGGAAGGCACAGGCCCCACTATTCAGACAAGTCATACTAAATAAGATTTAGCTTTTTAGTTGCTAATCACATGTAGCTTTTTACTAATCACATACCTTATCTTTTAAGAGGATCTCATATGTTGTTATAAGTGCATTGAATTTCAATCTTTTGGTTTGGGAATGAATCCATTCATATTCCCGTATCTGAAAGAGAAAACAGTATTTAAGATAATTTCTATTTCAATCTTCTTTGTCAAACAAGTCTCATGATAGATGTAGTAGGAACATGCCACATAAAAAAACAATCAAAATTTAATGAGTAGCCTTACAATTTGAGCTGATTGACTTAAATAACCCAATTGTACAGCAGTAAGAGAATTAAAATATGGATCACTAAACAGTAAATACTTCATTGTCCAATTCAAATAAACAGACCCCCTTCAAATATCTTACCAAGAATATGTATTTATCAGCAATTAATTCTCGAAGAACTCAACTAAATAGTAATCTCTCAGGTCCCTAGAATCTCCTTGCTACCTAGAGTTTCATTACTTACTCAAGGTAGGGCAATACTTTTACTAAGAAGCAAAACAAATTCTAACCTCTGGTTCCATCAGAAATTTCATTTATCAGAATAGACAGGTCTCCCAAGAAAAAGGAAAGGAAGACTTACAGGATAAAAATGCAATTTCATATAAACAAAAATGTCAGTGTAAGAAACACAAAACGAATGCATCCACACTGAAGTATGGCCAGTACTCAGCAAACAAAATGGCTAATAAAGTTAGAAACCAGAACAATGATCAGACAAAAAGAAGAGTGGAGAATGCAAAGAAAACTCTCTAACAGGACAATTTCTTAATTTACTTTCTTGATTTGCTTTCACCTTTGGAAGGAATGATTACAGCTGTTTTTCATCACCGTTAAGTTTTTTTGCTAGATGCTCTTTTTAATGAATTAATGAAACAACATCTATCTTCCTAGAAAACGATTAAGGGAATGAAATCTGCTATGTTTTTTGAAGAACAATGATTTTTCCCCCCAGGTGCAGGGGGGATTAAATCCAGGGTCACATGCCTGCTAAGCAAATACTCTACCAATGAACTACCTCCCCAGCCCAAGTTTGATCATTTTAATTATAGTTTACTAAAAACAAACTTGAAAGTAAGAAAATGTTAACAGCATCCATACAAACTGCTGATGGCTTACTCTTACTACAAGCAATCTCCCAGAGACATGTTTACATAAAATAGCCAAAGAACAGAGCTCTGGGACCAAATACATCTATGTCTCAATGCCATTGCTACCATACTCTAGCTGCCCTAGGGACAAGGATCAGATTCTCTCAGTCAATGTCAATGTCTTCCTCAGTAACCTGGAAAGACTACCATCAGCTCTGAATACTCTCAAGAAGATTACAAGTAATATACATCAAACTTCCCAAGACAAGTACTTTATAAAAAGTTAGTAATTACCAAGAAAAGATTTGGTAAATAAAGATAAATTTAGATCACCATGTTCTAATTCAGGATGCCTAAATGGAAGTTGGGTACCACATTAAAGGTATTTTCTTTCATTTTTCTTATAAGTTATATTATCTCACCATTTTAAGAGGTTGGGAAACAATTCTAAAGAACAACTATTATATCTCTCTGCTAAAACAGCAATTGTATTAACTTTTCACAAGGTATTAATCTCAGTTTACAATCTTATACAATTCAGTTTTAGAAATACAATCTCAAGCTAGGCGCTGGTGGCTCACGCCTGTAATCCTAGCTACTCAGGAGGCTGAGATCTGAGAATCGCGGTTCAAAGCCAGCCCGGGCAGGAGAGACCGTGAGACTCCTATCTCCAATAAACCACCAGAAAACCGGAAGTGGCGCTGTAGCTCAAGTGGTAGAGCGCTCGCCTTGAGCTGAAGAGCTGAGGGACAGCGCCCAGGCCCAGAGTTCAAGCCCCACGACCAAAAAAAAAAAAAAAAGAAATACAATCTCAAGTGCCACAAAAAAAAAATTAACACTGCAAGACAAGAAAAATAACACTGCAATCCAACTGAGAGAGATTCCTATGCATATACTTCTATTCTTTTTCTTTATAATCTAGTATGCATAGGTTTTAAAACATATCTGCATTGCATCTTTGTTATACACATAAATCCTAATATTGGGGACACAGCACACTGAAGATTTTTATAAATAATTCTACAAAAGGCTTAGGTCAGTTTCCCAAATACATTTATAACACAGATTCTAACCCAACTCTTTTTGTTTACACACCGTATTTCTGCTCATCAGGTCACCTATGTAAACCACTACGTTAATCTCTGGTGCCCAGATTTCAAACTCCCTCTGCCATGAGGTGAGGGTGGATAAAGGGACGACTATAAGAAAGGGTCCATACAGCTGGTGTTGGTGGAACAGGTAGGAGAGGAATGATATGGTCTGGATGGTCTTCCCTAGGCCCATTTCATCAGCAAGGATTACACTGTTATTTCTGCAGTAAGAAAAAAGTAAAAACAAAACAATCATTAGTTCACCAACAAACTGTGTGCACAAATACCAACAAGACCAGGGCTTTATACTGACAGCAGAGAAAGGCAGCCTATGGGGCCTTAGACACATTTCCCCTCATTTACAATTACTAAAGACTCCTACATAAAAGAAGCCATGATGGCAGAACAAGTCATCTGTAAGCATATTTGAAATAGGATTATCAAAGTTTAGTCAGACATATATTCTTTATCTTCAAATGAGGTCTGGATTATGTGACCATTCAGGGGCTAACCCTTCTAACAGAGAAGGCAGCTTTTATTATAGATGTATACAACCCTGTAACCCTCAGTTCTATCCATACAAACACCATGAGCAGACTGCTGGCGTATCCTAAACCCTCTCACCCTAACTGCTCATCTCTCCATTCCACTCCATGCCCAAGGTGTTTAACATTCTATCCAAATGAACCAACTATAGTTTAAGCAGAGGACGTCTAAGGATCAGATCCCTAGACCTCACCCTAGGCCTAGGGCAAGGACAACCAGAAAAGGACTCCAGGTTCTTGGTATTAATTTGAAGTCTGATGCAGGGATTCTGTGGACCACAGTTTGAGAAACATTGCTTTCATGGATTCCAATACAGTATTAACTTTTAAAAATTGCTCAAATGTGATAAAAACAGCCAGTTAGCAAATTTATGGGAATTACAAAGTAGCTCTTTGGCAGGAAATCAGGAATCTATGTATGACATAAGGTTACATTTTTTTTTAACTCTTTAAACTATAGTCTGGACCCTTAGTACAATTCATATAAAAAATGAGTGGCAGGGAATTAAACACGCTCTGTTGGAGGGTAGCAGAGTAAGAAGGGGTATGAGGATGAATATGGCAGAAGAACCTTCACACACACATATGAAAGTGGCATAATGAAATCTGTTGACATTTTTAAAAAGAAAATAAAAAAGTCTGGATCAGGGTCCTCCCTGAGCTCCAGGTTCAGCGCTTCCCTAACCCCAGGAAACGTGGGCTTGCCCGGGACCCTCACAGCTCTCAATCTGCTCCCATCATTGGCAGCTTTGTGCTGCGTCTTGGTCTCCCGGCTGTTTATGTGGCCGCCCTCATGCTGTCAGCTCAGTGGTTCTGCTCTTCTGGATTCCTGCTTGCTGCCTTCAGCTGGGGGCTCCTCGCGCTCAGCCTGACTGCACACAGCAACCAACATTCCTGCCTGCCTTCAGGGCTTGCAAGGGAGAGGGATGAAGGGTGCTGACCCTGTCAGTCCTGTTGCACCCATAGTTTTACCCATCCTTTAGAAAGATCAGGAGGCACTCTGAAAGCAAAATCATTTATTTCCACACAATCATAACGGTTATATGAGACCCATGTTCTCAGCCACACCAACTAAAGCGCCACTATTTTCATAACTAAATATTAAATATTGGATCAGACTTTACAGGACAAAGTAACAAGTGGTTTGCTTCAGAAACAGTCATTACAAACGAATCTAACTAGAAACCACCTCTTTCTAGCGTTGAAGAAAAAACTGCATGCTTTAAGTGGCTTCAACAGGCCTAACAAGCAAAAGTCCTTGAGTTCAAACTTCAGGATCACAAAAAAATAAGTATAAGTAAAAATATAAATTTAAAAAAGCTTACTTTAGACTATAGTTGAATTGCAAAATAAAAATTTTTGCTTTACAATTTTTTTGGGGGGGATCCGGTCGTGGGGCCTGAACTCTGGGCCTGCGCGCTGTCCCTCAGCTCTTCAGATCAAGGCGAGCGCTCTACCACTTGAGCCACAGAACCACTTCTGGCTTTTTTCTTTTTGCTTATGTGGTGCTGAGGAATCGAACCCAGGGCCTCATGTATGCAAGGCAAGCGCTCTACCACTGAGCCACCTTCCCAGCCCCTGCTTTACTATTTTTTTAAAAAACTGAAATTAAGTGCTTACACTTGAGAGAAGGAATTTCCACAAATAGAGGCATCACATCTGTCTGGGTTCATGGTTAAACATGGGTTAGGATAGCCATCAAAATGCCAGAAGCACTGAGGAGAGCTTCCAACCCCTTTTCTACCTACTTGCACCAGGAATGCGCCAGCCAGTTGAGGCCTTCTAGCTGATAGTCTCGGAGCTCCAGATTTTCCCCTCCTAAGTATGTGGGCTGTTTCTTTAAAGCTACAAATCGTGGTCTTTGCTTCAGGGCCTGAAAAACAGAGATTAAGAAAGGCCAGGTGTAAGCTGGGCACCGGTGGCTCACACCTGTCATCGTAGCTACTCAGGAGGCTGAGATCTGAGAATCAAGGTTCAAAGCCAGCCCAGGCAGTAAAGTGTGTGAGACGCTTATTTCCAATAAACCACTCAGAAAACTGAAGTGGCGTTGTGGCTCAAGTGGTAGAGTGCTAGCCTTGGGCTGAAGAGCTCATAGCGTCCAGGCCCAGAGTTCAAGCCCCATGACTGACAAAAAGAAAAAAAGAAAAAAAGGCCAGGTGTGAGAAAGTGTTCTCCCTGCTGCACTTCCATTATTAGCCACCAAGTGATGTATTGTAAAAAAAAACTCTCACATCAGAATCACAGCTGACTCCCACCTCCCCTTTCTCGGCATCTACAATCGAGATTTCACCCTAAAATTGAACAACCTGTACTTCTCTTGCTCCTTTTTGTAAATAAGTTTGTGTAGAATATTAAACAGCCCGTTATTATTACATCACTTTTGCTGTATGGCATGAGAGTCTGCAGTCTTCCCACAGTTGTCTTTACATCATCTTAGTCTACAGCTTACATTGAAATGGTCTCTAATGCTTTACAACGTCGGTGCGGGGAGGGGGGCAGGGGGGGGAATGAGAAGGGATTGGGATTGGGGGGGAGGGGGGAGGCTGCAAAGGAGGAGGCTGCAATGCTTGGTAAGAAATGTACGCATTATCCTGCCCATGTAATTGTAACCCCTCTGTACAGTATGTTCACAAATAAAATTAAATTAAATTTAAAAAAATGGTCTCTAATATGGTAAATGTTGTAATCCTGTAATTGCAATAGTAAGATTTTAAAATTCTGAAATGCAATCCGCCTACTTTAATTTTCTAAAGAAAAAATGCTGTTTTTAATCAACAATGTTTTGAAGAATAGAGTTCAAGAAAGGCAGTCTCTACCATGTACACAAAAATATGGATTCTGTGGCCAATTTAGTTTGGCCAAAATCTAACTATGCATATCTATAGAAAAAATTTATTCAGTACAAAAATCGTTTTTCAGGAGCATCAGTGATCTATGGAGCCTATTACAAGAGACATCATCCTACCTTTGATGAGGGCATGGATAACTTCAGCTCCACTATGTAAAATGCCTAGTAATGAATGTCTGACTCTTCATTCTCACCCTCCACACACCAGCCATCCATCTACTGCAGCCAAACCGCCCCACAATGATTCTTGCATCCAAATCCTTCCATGCCACAGCTATACCCTTCATGCTAATTCTTCATTCATATTGTTCTATGACATCTCACTAGCTGGATCTTCGAGCACCAGACTCCTACACTGCCATTAGATGAAGCTTTCTAAATACAATATGCTTCCACCCTGCTCCTCTACTCAATAGCGCACCTGATGGCTGTAGGATAAAGTCAAGATGCCCTTCCTTAAAGTAGGCAAGACACACAAGCTTTGACAAAAATACATTTAACTCACCAACACCATATCTATTCTCATGTGTGAGATCTTTCTCTCCTCTGACTACTCTCTCCTTTCTCCTCCTATCTTTTCTCCTCTAGTTCTCTACTACAAAAACCTTTCATGAGAGGAAAATCCCTGGGCCCTTCTTGGCAATCAAACAGAAATCTATTCTTTAAGGACCAGTGACAGATGAAGCACCAATGTCCTCTAAAGCCTGCAATGACCACTGAAGCGCAGAGACTTCTCTACCTCTGTACTTCTGACTGTAGATTCTCATTCATGTGACCCACAATCACACACACAATGGTTTTTAACATGTTTGATACACGTTTATTGCATGTAAGACCCAAGAAGACTACTTTTCAAATGGGTAAATTCCAATCAAGGGAAAGCATTTCTGCAGCCACAATAGCAAAACCTTTATACAACTTTATGTCATCTCTCTCTACTTCAAAATGAAAACCATCACTTGCTCCTTTTTTTTTTTTTTTGTCACTTATGGGGCCTGAACTCTGGGCCTGGGTGCTGTCCCTCAGCTCTTCACTCAAGGCTAGCACACTACCACTTGAGCCACAGTGCCACTTCTGGCTTTTTTCTTTTTGCTTATGTGGTGCTGAGGAATAGAACCCAGGGCCTCATGCAGGCAAGGCAAGCACTCTACCACTGAGCCACCTTCCCAACCCCAGAACCATCACTTTCTGTTGTAATACTTTTGCCTCTCATTATCTATGTAACTAGACCTTTCTAGTACCCCTCAAAAAAAACAAAAATCAACCGTTGCTAACCTTGCACTCCCTGGTTGGGATGGTTTTTGAGTTGTTCCGACTGTGGAAGCTGTCGATGCAGCTCTGGAACTTCTTCCCAATGAGGGCTTCATCCTCCCAGCTGCACTCTGAATAAGGCAGCCCCATCCATTTGCATAGATACTCAGGTTCATTGGTAGGTGCTGGCTTCCGACTATGAGCTATTTCGTATATAAAAATGTGTACATCAACTCAACATGGGAGTGACATTGTTTTTTATGTATAACCAGCGAAAACTATGTGAAAAGACTTTATGGAATTTGAAAATTTTAAAATACTCTTAAATGCTAAACAACATTAACAATTAAGAAAAAGAACTCTTACCTGGAAAATCTGTTTGGCCCAATGTAGATTTACTTGTCTTCACAGCTTTGAAAAATGAAAAAAGTTAACAATCATTATCTGACACTACTGTCATGCACACACCCAAATTTATGAGCAAACAAGTTTAGGGTCAGGAACTGTGGCTCCCATCTGTAACCCTAGATTAGATTAAGAAGCTCAGAGCTAATCAGGAGACTAAGACTTGAGGATCACAACTTGAAACGAGCCCGGCAGACTGACCAGACTCTTATCTCCAGATAACAAGAAAAAACCTACAACTAGAATGATAGAGCACTTACTACTCTGAGTGAAAAAGTTAAAACAGGAATGAAAAACCTTGAGTTCAGGCTGGGAAGGTGGCTTAGTGGGAAAGTGCTCGCCTCTCAGGCATGAAGCCATGAGTTCAATTCCTCAGCACCACATAAGCAGAAAAAGTCAGAAGTGGCACTGTGGCTCAAGTTGTAAAGCACTAGCCTTCAGCTGAAGAGCTGAGGGACAGCGCCCAGGCCGGAGTTCAGGCCCCACGACCAACAAAAACAAAAACCTTGCGTACAAGTTCCAGTACCAGCACTGAATAGTAAATCTACAAAATGCATGTTTTTTTACATTAGCCTAAAACCAAACAACATTATTTTTTGAGTTTAAACACAGCTAAACTAAGTTTTGATGTACTTACCAATTACTCTCTCTACTATCTGATACTGTTTATTCAACTCTGAGGCTAGCTCTTGTTGGCAACTGAAATATTCCACGTCTTCAGGAGACACTTTTCCTAACCTGGGCAAAAGGCAGAAAGAGTACATACCAATCAGATTTGAGGGCTCTCTATACATACCTCAGAGCAAAAACCTAAGATACAACAGGAAACTCATGCCTGAAGCCAGTGGTCCCTGCCACCTACTTGGACAACTAAGACCTGAAGGATTGAGGATTGAAGTCAGCATAGTCAGAAAAGTTCAGGAGACATCAACAGAAAGCTGGGTACAGGAGCAAGTGCTTGGAAGCAAAGGAAAAGCAAGATTTTATCGCAAAAGATTTTTGCTAGTTAGCAAAAATCCAGGCTGGAGACAGGCTCTGTCTAGCCTGCGGCCCTAAGTTCAAACCCCAGCACATGCACATACACACGCCAACAAAAAAGAAAATGTATTTGCTCCCATCTGTTCCTTTAATAAACTTCACTTGGGTTCAAGTTTGTAAGTAAAAGGAAAAAAAAAACTCATACTATATCTGCAAATTCCACACTACCCAACTATATCATAATCCAAAATATTGATGCTTTATATCTAAGCCACTCCAGCCTATGCAAAGAAAAATAACCAAGTTCTTAGAGATGGGCTGTGGAATTGAACAACCAAAATTCAAATCCTGTGCAGAGTTGTTCTGTGCCTTACTCTTCCCAACAAATTACAAACCTCACATCTTTACTGTTAACACCAAAGAGATAATTGCCTAAATAATATGCCATGAGCAAGTTAATTATTAACTCTAAAAACTTAATAGCTATCTACAAAATTAAGTACTGTCTTCAGGTCACAATTTCATAAAATATGGCTACATGCTCAGATGATCAAGGCAAAATCTGCAGTCCTTAATAGCTGTGTTGTTTTCCATTCATTATTTTAAAGGCTTCCCTTCCCTCATGCTGTAACTATCTTCTTAATGCAAGATGGAAATATACCATTGTTTGATTTCATCCTCTTTCTTCTTGAAGTTCTCTAGCTTTTTGAGGCCCTTCACTTTCTGTTGTTGTAAGGATTCTTCACTCTCCCAGGTGCTATGAATATAAGACCAACCCTTCCATTTGATGAGATACTGGATTTCTCCTTCATCCTTCTCAATATCAAAGTCACCACTAGGGTCTCCATTAGCTTCAACAGCATACACAGTAGTAGAAGCTCCAGTGGCTGCGAAAGAATTCAGGTACAAAAATAGACAATAAAAAGCTGCCCAAGTAAGCAACTGTCAGCAAGAGTCCTTTCTTCAGTAAGCCATCAAATGAGTCTGACAACGTAAGCAGAAGCTCACAATGTAGGACAGACTTTATCAGTAAGGTCCAACATTTTCAAGATGCTAACCCTATTTTTTTGTAAGTTTGCAGGTGAATCAAAGAAAATCCTTTGTCCAAACTTAAGAAAAATGGAGTAGAATTGTCTTTTTATCATCCTTCCCACTCAACGAATCCCTGTCACCAGAAGTGTGAACAGAAACAAAAAACACTCTCTCCTCACTAACCCACCTCCCAAAGCTTTCTGTTAACTCCCTGGTCCTCAAGTACATCCAGAATGAGGAATAAAAAGGGGGGAAGGGGACATATATAATTCTCTAATTCTGGAGAGGCAGAAGCTGTTGGACACAAGTTTCAGACCAGTATGGGCTACACAGCCACACTCTGGCTCAAGGGGAAAAAAAGTTGGAGGGTACAGGCATAGGGAAGAGAAGGTACTACATATTACTTAATATTTCTGAGATGAAAAGCTACTTTAAAGCAAGTTAGTTCTGAGATATTTCAAATGGTCATTTCTAAAACCTTTCATTCATATCCACAGATGTATTGAAAGAGCTGACTGATTTTTACAGGAAGATTCAGAAACAATTAATGAGCAGCTCTATAAAAATCAGCACTCATCTTTACCAGCTAATTTGTTTAAAACCTCAAAGACATAATGATTTCGGTCCCTCTGCTCTCAGCTCAGAAACACACTGATGGATTCAGAAGCCTTCCCCCTTTCATAATAAATCCAGGTGTGAGCTGAAATTCATCACATCAGAGTTAAAATCTGTCAACTCTGGGACTCTAAGCAGATACTACAAGGTCACGGACTTCTCAGAAGCACAAACCTCCTTTCTTCCCCTGTCTTGAATCGAAGACCTTTTCAATAGTTTCACTGTTATCTTGCTGTTCATCAGCTCCTTCTCCCGTCATCTCAATGAGATCATCCGAGTCAGTCTCAAAGTCATCATCTTCTTTATAGCTGCATGAGAAAAACACTTGAGTAAATGAGAACTAATCACCACGATACAACAGCACCAGGACAAGGTCCAACCACACTGTGTGACACAGTTGTCACCCAGTGGTCTCATCACCCACTTCTGTCCTACTTCTACTATACTGACCAGCTCACTGGTCAGTGCAAGAAGGCAAACTGACACTGCAGAACAAATAAATTGTGCTCATACTAATTTGTGTAAACAAGACACAGAAAAGAACAAGGACACAAGTTGTTTTTTCATTCGTTAGGATTAGATCATCACCATGCAGACATGTTATGATAGTAATATGGTAACTATCACATACAAAAAATACATAAATACATAATGGAAAAGAATTGCTACTATGCCATTAGGCAAAAGGAAAGCAATAGTCCTAAAATTAAATGTTTGAATCCTCCATTTTGTGTCCCAATAACAAGAATACGAAACAAAGACAGGCACTGGTGGTTCACGTCTATAATCCTAGAGTCAGTACACTAAAATCTGAGATGTGCAGTTCAAAGCTAGAAAAGTACATGAGACTCTTATCTCTAAGTAACCAACAAAAAAAATGTAAAATGAGACTCTTATCTCCATGGGCCTCTTATCTCCTAATAGTCACCAAAAAATGTAAACTGTACCCAGGCATGGAGGAGTAGAGGCCTGTAATCCCAGCACTCTGAAGGCTAAAACAAGAAGATCACAAGTTCAAGGCCAGCCTGGGCTACATAGCAAGATCCTGTTCAAAAACTCCAAAAAGAAAAAACTATAGCAAAATAGACAATGTGACAATGTAAGCTTTTGTAACATCAACAACAAATAGTTTGACAGTTACAGGAAATGAACACATAATTCGAGATGCAGTACAGTTAACAGTAAAACAGAGTGCCAAGCTACTCACTAGCATATTTGAATGTGTTAGCCCAATCCTAGTTTATAGTTATTAATTGCTTACATCAAACCAATATTGTCTCTAGGATACAGTTTCATCATTTCAAAATGGGACAAAGAAACCTGAATGTGTTCTTTGAAAGATTCAAATGTCCTTCAATTCCTCTAGGGTTAAATGCCAATGTTTACACATATCTCTACTTAATTATTGTTTCATAGATGATTATTAACTTTTGATAAAATTATACTCAAATCCTAACAGGTACACTGGATCTCAGAAAATTCTACATGATTCAAAACTATGGAAATGTGGTTCAAATGGTAGAGCACCTAACAACTGTACAGGTCTTGAGTTCAAGCCTTAGTACCACAAAAAAAAAAGTAATTCAGAAATAAAAATATAACAGAAACACATTTTTGAAAGAATGTTATAAAATTAAGATATAATAACACTTAGGTACAGAAACTTGAAAGAGTTTAAAATGAGCAATGCAATGTCCTACTCCTCTTAGCTCAACACCTTTTTTTTCCAAGAAGGAGAACCAGATTTCTGATAGCATTTGCCTACACAAATGCATTATTATCTTAAGACTGACTTAACCAAGTTCTAAGCAAATACAGTGTCACCCAGACACCTCCAAGACACCACTGACCTAACATTTTTAGCTGCTCTTCGACGAGTCTGTCTCTTGGGAGCTTCATCATCATCATCATCGTCATCAGAAGACTCTTGCTTTTTCCTTTTTCCACGCTGAGTCTTCATTTGCTTTTTAACAGGAGGTTTAGGTACTGTTCTGAAATCAAACAAAAAAAACCAGCAAAATTATGACTCAATCATTCGGTACCTACTTCCAATCTATATAATACTCTCTCCCTAAGCAGTAGGACATACACAGAATTCACTGGAGAAATGTAAAAAATTTGTATTCCTGGGTCTCAATCCTAGACATTCTACCTTACTAAAGAATGTGTACCCAGGCGCCAGCGGCTCACACCTGTAATCCTACCTACTCAGGAGGCTGAGATCTGAGAATCGCAGTTCAAAGCCAACCTAGCCCGGGCAGGAAAGTCCGTAAGACTCTTATTTCCAATAAACCACCAGGAAACCCGAAGTGCACTGTAGCTCAAGTGTTAGAGTGCTCGCCTTGAGCTGAAAAGCTGAGGGACAGGGCTCAGGCCCAGAGTTCAAGCCCATGACCAACAAAAAAAAAATTGTATTTTCAACATTATGGGAAAAAAAGAGTGAATACTTCTCACTGCTCATCAGAATCACCTGACGTAAGAAAGTGTAGGGTGGGTTGTTGATGTATCTTTTTTTTTTTTGGGTCCAGTCGTGGGGCCTGAACTCTGGGCCTGGGCGCTGTCCCTCAGCTCTTCAGCTCAAGGCTAGCGCTCTACCACTTGAGCCACAGCGCCACTTCCGGCTTTTTTCTTTTTGCTTATGTGGTGCTGAGGAATCGAACCCAGGGCCTCAAGCATGCAAGGCAAGCGCTCTACCACTGAGCCACCTTCCCAGCCCAGCCACCTTCCCAGCCCTGATGTATCTTTTTGTGGACAATTTGGAAATGCACACCAAACTTAACAGTTCAAGTGTCAACTGGACTGTTGACACTTAAACACAGAATTAGAAACACACTGAAGCATCACATGTAATGACAAAAGAGGTAAAATACTCCAAAAGTCTCTCAGCTGGTAATTAAACAGAGTATGTAGTCATTAAAAAAACAGTAAGGAATTGTCTGTATCCTGATATGAAAAGATTGCTAAAATGAGGAAAGAAGCCTGTTCATGTTGCGCAAGAGACTGCTATCTGTACAAATTGGAATAAAGGACAAGAAAGAACTATACATACACTTTTGCTGATGTGCACAAAATATACCTGAAAGAATATCTAAAAAAAAAACAGTCCTTGGGCTAGGAATGTGGCTTAGAGTGATTTCTTTGCATGCATGAAGCCCTGGGTCAATTCCTCAGTACCACATACACAGAAAAAGCAGGAAGTGGTTCTATGGCTCAAGTGGTAGAGTGCTAAGCAGGGACATGCACAGGTCTTGAGTTCAAGTCCCAGGACTGGCAACAAAAAGAAAAGAAAAAAGAAAGAAACCAGCCCACCTCAGATCTCCTAGAATATACTGAGGAGATGGCCCCTTTTACTACCCCAATGCCATTGAGACTGAACACCATAGCTGGGAAGTTGTCAAGAGAAAATCTTCAAATATTAATGACAAAATAATGAAAGAGGTAGAAGAGAGACAGAAATTCAGTCATGTTACTGTTTCTCTATCATAACTAACCCTAGACAAACGATCAAGGATTTAATAAATCATGGGAGAAAAATCTAGAAGTGACACTTCAGTCTTCAGAGCTTTAACTCAGATGTAAAACAAATAGCCAGTGGATACCTCTCCCCGATTGGGATGGGAGCAGATAAGATGCCTTACCTAGGACAGGGTTGGCAAGTGATTTTAGGCTCTTCCAGCCAAGAGGCAAACTACGACCATTATGTGGGTACTTCATAAAGAAAGTCTGTAAAACTTCCTGGGGCCTACCTTCTGCTTTACTTCATCTGTCATCACTACGTTAGGTTGTCATCTGGTCAAATATAACCAATATTGACTGTCATTTAAATCTACCTGTTTCTACAAAATTACATTCTCTGCTTCATATTCATATTCATATATATTCTGCTTCATATTCATATATAGATTATATGAGTAATGTTTGCATTAAATCAGACAAATAGTGCTTGAAAATTAAAAATTAGTTATCCCTCAAAGAACCTGTCTCCTGGCCAACACACTGCAGATGTGTTTGACCATCCTTTCTAACTATATAAAGTATGATAAAAGTATATGAAATATACATAAGAAAAATGCCATAATAAAGCCCACAGTTTCAAACAATTAATAAACACAAATGAGAAATAGTAATAAAAATTCCATGAAGGCTGGGCACTGGTGGCTTATGCCTATAATCCTAGCTATTCAGGAGGCTGAGATCTGAGGATCATGGTTCAAAGGCAGGCCTGAATTCAAGCTCCACAACGAACACTCTCTTCTCAAAAAAAAAAAATCCTGCCAGGCATGTGACTCACGCCTGTAATCCCAGCTACTCAGGAGGCTGAGGATCACAGTTCAAAGCCAGCCTGGGCAGGAAAGTCCATGAGATTCTTATTTCCAATAAACCACCAGAAAACCAGAAGTGGTGCTGTGGCTCAAGTGGTAAAGTGCTTGCCTTGGGACAGTGCCAAGGCGCAGAGTTCAAGACCCACAACTGACAAAAGAAAAAAAAAAATCCCATGGTAAACAAAAAACAAAAATTTACTGTCTCATAAATACATCTGTGTGTATACCAGGTTGTGGCTCAAGAGAAAGTCACTGACCTAGCCAGCACAAAGCCCAAGTTTAATCCCCAGTACCACAAAAACAAAAACATTTATGCAGAGTGGGCATGACAGCTCATGCCTATAATCCCAGCACTGATGAGTGAGAGGCATGAGGATCACTACTTCAAGACCAGCATGTGGGTTACCTAGCAACACTTTACGTCAAAAGCAAGGTAATTGGAGCCATGCACTGATGGCTCACACCAGCTATTCAGAGGAAGAGGGAGACTCTTATCTCCAGCTAACCACCAGAAAACTGGAAGTAGCAATATGACTCAAAGTAGTAGAGCACTAGCCTTGAGCAAAAGAGCTCAGGGACAGTGCCCAGGACCCAAGTTCAAGCCTTGTGACTGACCAAAAAATAAAAATTTTTAAAGAAATATATCCATGCAATAGATCTAGTCACAAGAGATTTAAGTAGCTATTCATCATTTCTCAGGAAGTGAACTAAGAATCACACTCATCCGAAGTAACTCTCTTCCAGCAAGACACCATCCTTCCCCATGAAAGGCAAATTAAGCTCATCCCAAGCAGAGACTTCACAGGCAAACAGTGCACCTTCTGGGGACAGGTCTTCTGGCCTTGACTCTTTTTTGCTCTGATTCACTCTCTGCACTGGCGCCTTGCTCCTGTTCATCTTCTGAGGGCTCCCGCTTCCATTTTTCTCTGCGATCAAAAGCAAAACAGCACTTTCTAAAAGACTTCTTCAAGCTAATCAATCTTGTAAGACAAATGTCAACAAAATTATTGAAAAAGCAGAACATACATAGTTACATGTCATTTCTTTACAAAGAGATGATTCTGGTTATAATCCCTTCTAGGCTACACACTATCTTTTCCTATATTATTAGCTCAAGTGAGTAAATGACTCAATAACTAACTAACCAACCAAATAACTAAATAAATAAGGAAATTGGGATGTATTTTCAAACCATTTGAGTGACCAGACTGAAGCCCTAACATCTACTTGATTAATGGCTCACAAAGCATAGCATTCATGAGAACCATATAAATGGATGTTTACAAAGACTGGATCCTAGTTACAGAGTTTCTGATTCAAAGGGTCCCAAGTAAAATCTAATACTTTGAATGTTTAAAAAAAAAAAAATCTCACAACGCTGATATTGGGTATAACTTTTTCATAGAGCTATTTGTGTTTGGTACTATTGAACCTATGTCTCACATTATGCTAGGTTAAGTGCTGTGCCACTTAACTACATACCCAGGCCCTTATTAAATATTTTGTCTTTGGAAAACATTTAAGGATACAACACTTGTATTTGTTAATGATAAACCTACTACCTTACTAAATATCAGCTCAGCTCAAGATGTAGTTTGTAAAAATTACTGCATAAAGTAGGTAGTTCTTTTATTTTTTGGTAGTTCATAAGGATATCAAAGAGCCACAACCTAAAGAGAGATGATTTAAGAGCCATAACTTAAAGGTATTCTTCTACCCCAGCTTTAGTTTATTTAAAAACCAAACAAGAAATCCCAAGACCTAACCCATTTCTCACCTGTTGGACAAAGAAAATAATAATAATAGCTACTGAACATGAAGTACCCAGAAAAAACTGAGGTTTCCTCTACAAACAAAACCATCAGCACTGTGCCTCTCCGCAGGGGGTAGAGCTATGCAGCAGACACTTGTGAGACTGAGAGTACAAATCAGTGTTACTCCTCGGAGAAGAGCAAGTGAGAATATCATCCAAGGATATTCCAAGAGGAGGTGATTTGCACATTTTTGAGATCCTAAAAACTACAGGAGTTGTCTGATGCCTGAAAAAGGTGGAGACTTAGGAGGAAAAATTAAAGGCTTCCATGAAAGGACACTGCTCAAATTCTGCTAGCACTGTCTGTTCTCATGCCCACTTTCTGTTGCTGTGACTTTTTTGGGCCAGAACTTAGGCTTGAACTCAAGGCTCAGCTTTTTTGCTCATGACTGGTACTCTACCACTCATACCACACCTCCCATCTAATATCTAATAACTGGAGGGTCTCTTGGACTTCTCTGCCTAGGCTAGCTTTGAACCATAATCATCTAGGCCTTAGTCTCAAAGTAGCTGTGATTACAGGCATGAGCCACTGGTGTAGTTACAACATTTTTGTTCACCTTTGAAATGTAAATACATATGGCCCTTTGTTAAGTCAATTAAGAAATGAATTATAACAGTCTATCAGTCTGACACAGAAGGTACTTTGGAGAGAAAGACAAAGAAGGAAAGTATAAATATAGAATGTAATTCATACCAAAATGGAGGCCTAAATTAAAAATGAAAACAAAAAATGGCAAATTTAAAATTATTATTCCTTTACTTAACAGGAATAGCAAATGCTTATTAGGTTTTTGGTTTTTTTGTTTGTTTTTGTCGGTCGTGGGGCTTGAACTCTGGGCCTGGGCACTGTCCCTCAGAGCTTCAGCTCAAGGCTAGGGCTCTACCAATTGAGCCACAACACCACTTCCGGTTTTCTGGTGGTTTATTGAATCTAAGAGTCTCACAGACTTTCCTGCTCGGGCTGGCTTTGAACTGTGATTCTCAGATCTCAGCCTCCTCAGTAGCCAGGCTTATAGACGACTGGCATTTTTGTGTTTTTTAAGGAAAAAATGAACTGAGCTAATCTAACTAGCCAAATAAATAGAAAAGGTAGACAGAGTCTGCCCAAAGGAATCATCATCTGCCAAACACATGTGGGCTGGGCCCCTTCTGTGTGTTAAACCACAAGTCCTGGGGTTCAGTGCTGCCATCACTATAACAAGAAAGGACAAACAGAAACCCAGGCATCTAAAAGATGGGATTAAGATGCTGGGACCCAGGACAGACTGGAGAGAGAAGGGCAACAGGTTCAAAAAGTACCAGGTTCAAAAGTACCAGTTCATTTCCCCCATGAAAAGACTTACTGTTTTTTCAGCTGCCTCTGGCCTCTTCTTTTTGGGCTCCCACTCTCAGACCCGCTACTTGCCTTCAGTGTATGGGGGGAGGAAAACCATTACAGACTTTAATTCACAGTTCGTTGGGACCATGCTATCTCCTGGCTCAACAATCTATTCAGCACCATTATTCAATGAGATTTTCCACAGAGACGGAAGCACTTTGGTTCTGCTAAGTCTCCTCTTTTGAAAAATCAGCATGTTATTATTAAATATCTCCAAAGCCAGGAAGTGTTTATCTTAGCTTGACTTTCAAAACAGCAATACCCAATAAACCGCATGCAATGATGTCAATATTCTCTATCCCAAGATCCAGTGCCATAGCCACCAGCCACTGGTGGCTTCTAAGTACTTGAAATGTGGCTGGCGAATGAGATTGAGAAATAGAATTTTAAATTTTGCTTAATTTTAGTAAGTCTTAAAAAATTTTAAAAGTCACAGAATGGATGCTGCAAATATCAAGTGAAGATGCCAGTGCCTTTAGTCAGTGTGTCTTTAAGGGGCTCTGCTGATCCCTTCACTCTAGATTCATAGAGTGTGTTAAATGATGACTGAAAAAGTGTCCTGCCAATAGCACTAGGCCAAGGAGTAGTTTGAGTCACAAAACTGCTTTTTGCCCTGAAATTAGTAAAATGGCAAACTACTTCTATTGCTGTTAGAGTCATCGTACTAAGAATGTATTAATAATATACAGAAGAGGAAAAGGTTTAAACCACCATGTGATGGGGTTACCAAGTTCCAGACACCATGGGACAGGAAAGCAAACACCAGACGTCACCAAACTCAAAGCATCACAAATGTAATGTGGGCTTTAGGGTGAATTCAACTTTTAAAGCATATTTACTAAAATTCCACACCCATCCCAATAAGCTTTGAGTTATCAATAGTTAACTTTCACCAGAAGCATATTACACAGTTAAGAATAGCAAAATCCTCCTAAAAGGCAGAAAGGGGACATCCACTGCCCCTTGGAGCATCTCCTCAGAATCAAGCCTATGGTCCTATCAAAGAGGTAATAATTTACAAAACCATCGCACAACCTGAGGAATGTAAGAGAGGTCTGCTTCTATAGATAAGTGAACTCAATACCGTCTATTGGCTCTCCCCATTAGATGCGAGTAAATATGTGAGAAACTCATTCCCTGGAAATGAATGAGCTGGGAAATCAAATTTGCGGAAACTTAACAAGATAAAACTAAGTATTCCCCTCTCTTTCCTTTCTCAGGAATAAACCCAAATCTATTTCCATTGTTCTACTTGTTCAACTAACAAGCTACTATTTGGCAAAATCTAAGTTTAGAAGGAAAGCCCTTGCTACAATTTTACTGAGAATTTTAAGAACAAAAATAGCCAAGGCCAGTTCTGAATATTAAGCTAACACTCTAATGAAATGTTCACTACAGTATGATTACTTTGATAAGTTCCTTTTATAATCAAATTAACATCTTGCCTTCCAAGGAATGTCCCATGAAGAGTCAAAAACCTCCCATGCTCAGAGTCCACTCATATTAAAGGCAAAAAGCAATCCAGTGTCCCAGAGGATAAAGTTAGACAGGAAATTAAAATAGATAATGAATGCCCTTAAAACTTCGTATCTTACCTCTTCTTTGATATTAAATCGTGAGGGCTCTTGTCTGCTTCGATTTGACCTCCTGACCCCATACACATCAGGATATTCTTCCCACATCTGCAAAATTAATAAACTATGTATAAGCACCTTCTCTTGACCCACATTTACTATTTTCACTAACAGAACATTTACCTCAGTTCCAGAGCACTCAAATAACTAGATAGTGAAAGGGCTATTTTGATATTTTTTAATTAAAGTATTATATTTAAACAGAAGTCATTATTATCCTAGAACACAAAGTTCAACAATGTCTTTCATTACTTAATGGTTTTTAAACTATAAAGGTATGTTGCTGACTTGTCATTAAAATATAATTTTACAGCCAGGAGCTGGTGGCTGTAATCCTAACTACTCAGGAGGCTGAGATCAAAGTATAGCAATTCGAAGCTAGCCTCAACAGGAAACTCCCTGAGACTCTTATCTCCAATAAACTACTCAAGTGGTGCTGTGGCTCAAGTGGTAGAGTGCTTGCCTTGAACAAAAAGAAGCTCAGGGACAATACCCAGGCTTAGAGTTCAAGTTCCAGGACCAGAAAAAAAAAAAGAGTATTTCTGTCTAAAGATGTAATTTCATCTTGAAATTCTATTTACTTTTAGTGCTAATTACTGAATAATCCAACACCTCACATGCTCAGAGTGCAAATCCATTATTTTTTTTTTTTTTTTTGGTCAGTCGTGGAGCTTGAACTCTGGGCCTGGGTGCTGTCCCTCAGCTCTTCAGCTCAAGGCGAGTGCTCTACAACTTGAGCTACAGCGCCACTTCCGGTTTTCTGGTGGTT